TTTTATATACTATAATAAAAAGTTTTAGCTTAATGTTTATAAATAAGTTTCTAAGTTTTCTAAATCCTAGATAAGTAGCTAACTATAATAGCTATTAAAGACTATAATTAAGTAAACTTCTTATAAAGCCTTAAAAGCTTTTTACTTATTATTTCCTTTTTTTTATTTTACTTTTTTTATTAAGTAGTTATTTAATTTTTATATTATAAATAAAGGTTAAATAGAAAAGACTATACTTAATTAAAGGATACTTATAAGTAGAAGCTACTAAAATACTGTTATAAGGCTTTTTCTTAATATAACTTTAATAGTAAAAAGAACTTTTACTAAAATAATAAGCGGTTTTTATATAAAAATAATAAGTATAAAGTATATTAGTAATAATAAAATAAGCTTTAATAAACTCTAAAAGTATAAAGCGCTTATAATCTTTTATCTTTATCTTTTAAGATTTTATTTTTAGTTTTGATTTTTTTATATAACTTAATATAATGTTAGTATTATAAATAAATAAAGAAGTAAGTTTAATAACTTTTTAACCTAAGAGAGATAATCTACTTATAAGGTCTTAAGGGTAAGACCTTTAAAGAGGAGACCTAATATTATAACCTAATAAGCATAATATAACCAGGGTTACTTTATAGGCGCCTAGTAGTTACAAGACAAGGTTATATATAGGATAGTATAAGAACACGTTAATCTTCTCTTAGAACAGAAGAACTAAGGAAAGTTATATAAAGATAAGAAGAACTAATAATAAATAAATAGTCTATAACCTAGGACTAATATACTAAGGATTAGTTCTTATTAAAGACTAACTTTAAGAGATTAGTCTTAACAGGGTAATAATAGGATATAAGGATAATTGTTTTAACTAGACTAGATATCTTTTATAGTTCTTTAGTAATTAACTTTATAATTTATTCTTTTATAAGTAACTTTTAGATTATTCTTTTATTATAAAGCTATAAAGCTATCTATGCTTAGATGTGCCTAACTGATTACTAGACATTAACAGACCAGCAAGATTACTAACAAGACTTACCTTACTGTTACTAAGTATTAACCTTAGTTACCTATTAGCAGAAAATACTACTGTTAAATATCTGACCGTAATAGCTAGGTACTCTAGTATAACGCTAACATTATTCGCCGGTTTATAATAGTAGAGGGATAGAATATAGTGCTTGCTTACCACGACGTTTTCGTTTTTAGTATGTGTAGGGTCTTCAGCATAGTATTTAACGAGTTCTCTTAACCTAAGTACTTATTATTTAACGAATAAGCTAAAGGCTTATATTTATAATTAGACCTATTTTTTTATAGAACTTTAAATATAAAAAGGAACTTAGAGATATAACTTAAGTATATATATAGTTAGATAATTGTTTAACTAAGATAACTATTATATAATTACTTAAGGAGTTAAAAGATAAATACTTTAAGAATATTGTAACAGCACAACTCTCTTAGCTAGATAGTTATACGTCACAAGGGTATATAAGTAGTGTTGATAGCAGGGCTTATACGCGTACAAGCACTAACGGATCTTTTAGGTTAGTTGGCTTAATTGGTCCTTGTTTAGAGCGTTACTGTTAGCGCTCTATTATAAATATACTTCTTTATATCTTAAAACTATTATATAGCTTAGTAAAGTTAAGCTTATATTAGTATAAAACTTATTTTAAGTATTATAGGAAAGATCTAAAGATAATAGAGTTAATATATAATTTATGCTTATTATATAGTTATAATAAAAGGACTAGATATCTTTAGCTGCAGTAGATAGTGTACTAGTAAGCTTTTAAAAAAGGGTTGTTAACGTTGTTGAAAGAAGTGTCTATGTAGAGTGGAGTAAACGCTACAAGAGCTACAAAAACGGCTATAATAACAGCGGAAGATTAAATGGTGATAATTGGTAGCTGAGAAGGTAGGATAGTTAATTAATCTTAAAGAAGTTTAACTTAGTAGAGGTGTAGTTGTTAACTAAGCTGATGATAGATTAATAAAGAGAGCAAGAAATTTTGCACAGAGAGACTGATAATATACATGGAATTCTCCTTTGTTAGTTCTAGTATAGTAATTATATCCTTAGACTTAAAACAGCTAGCTAGCCTTGTTAAGTTGAAACACTAGTCTGTTAAATATAAGCTGTACTATTGATTTGTAAGTAAACCGTATAAGTAATAGTACTTCTTTTAAGTTACTAGCTCTACTAAGATTATTTATTTCTATAAAAGTAGTAATAAAATAGTATTATAGAACAAGGGCTATATAGAGTATAGACTAGCTATATAGGATAAGGATATTATATGAATTAGTTAGCGTTAAGTTATAAAAGGGACTAGGCTAGTTTATTTATAAGAGTTATGTTTTATGTTTTACTATTTAATGTAATATTAGCGCTATATTATATTAAGCTTATTAAAGTATTTCTTAGCGTTTTTAGCTTAAATAACTTAGGTCTTAGTATACTTTTAAATAAAACATTTTATTAATTATAATATTTATTTTAAAGAAAAGCTATATTATCTTTTTTATATAAATTAATAAATAAATAAGCTAGCTATTATACTTATTATAGCTAAGTCTATTAAGCTATACTATTTATAGTATCTATATTAATAGAGTTATAGTAATAAATTAGTTTACTTAACTTTAATTTAATATAAAAGTTATTTTCTATATATAACTATATATAGTTTTAGTAATAAAGCTATTATATTTATAAACGTTTAAGCTAATATTAAAAATAAATAGCTATTAATTCTAATAAATTATTTTAAGAAAAAAAAAAACTAAATATAAATCTATATAAATTATATATCTTAGCTAAGTTAATAAGGCTATATATAGTATAGTAACGTTAGCGCCTAGTAAACGTAAAAGCCTATACTTATAAGAAGTTTAGTACTATTCTCTCTGCTGCACTAAACCTGAATGAACAAGGAATTCTTCTTTGTTAGTTCTAGTATAGTAATTATGTTCTTAGACTTAAAACAGCTAGCTAGCCTTGTTAGGTTAAAACACTGGTCTGTTAAATATAAGCTATATTATCGATTTATAAGTAAACTATATAAGTAATAGTACTTCTTTTAAGTTATTAGCTTTACTAAGATTATTTACTTTTATAAAGGCAATAATAAAATAGTATTATAAAACAAAAGCTATGTAGAGTATAGACTAGCTATATAAAATAAAGATATTATATAAATTAGTTAATATTAAGTTATAAAAGGGACTAGGCTAGTTTATCTATAAGAGTTATATTTTATGTTTTACTATTTAGTGTAATATTAGTACTATACTATATTAAGCTTATTAAAGTATTTCTTAGCGTTCTTAGCTTAAATAAATTAGGTCTATACTTTTAAATAAAACATTTTATTAATTATAATATTTATTTTAAAAAAAAGCTATAATATCTTTTTTATATAGATTAATAAGTAAGCAAGCTAGTTACTATACCTATTATAGCTAAGTCTATTAAGCTATACTATCTATAGTATCTGTATTAATAGAGTTATAGTAACAAATTAGCCTACTTAACTTTAATTTAACACAAAAGTTATCCTCTACACATAACTACATACAGTTTTAGTAACAAGGCTATTATATTCATAAACGTTTAAGCTAATATTGAAAATAAATAGCTATTAATTCTAATAAATCATTTCAGGAAACAAAGAAAACTAGATGTAAATCTATATAAATCATATATCTTAGCTAGGTTAGCGAGGCTGTGCGCAGCACAGTGACGTTAGCGCCTGGTGAACGCAAGAGCCTATACTTGTGAGAAGTTTGGTACTATTCCCTCTGCCGCACCGAACCTGAATAAACAAGAACGCCATGTGACCTCTCCAACAAACGCCTTGGCAGCCAGATTACAGCAGGCCAATGCCGTCAGCAGAAGACTGCCAAGTAAACCCTATCGCCTCAGTGGCACCTTATCCTTAGCCGGCTAGGCAGCTAGGTTCCGCCGCTTGTCAAACAGTCAGTTCAGAGATGGATGGAACCATCATGAGTCCTCGGCAGGAAATAGGTCACCGCCCTCGTTAAGAAACCTTAAAAACGTACCCATATATCCAAAGAATGAGCTGGCTCTTCAGTTTGGATCGGCTTCAAGGCTGTCGCACTCCCAGTCCATGAGTTCCAGTTCGTAAGGCCGTGCGGGAAAGTCAATGAAATGGCCGTTCCGTCCATTTAGGCAAAGAACTGACTGCTGCGGGGTAAGTGGGTTGATACGGCGCCCATTCGTCCCTAGAAGGGAACATTACCGTGGTAGATTCTGAGCCGACGAGGAGATATGCTGATCCACTGAAATTTTCAAGTAGATTCATCGCTGTTCTGAAGCTTCATTTAGACAGGAGCGTCATTACGGGTGACAATATTTTATCCTGAATAAGGGTTTCTGGTGAGACTTCTGCTTCAAGTTAGCTTGCAGTGTTGTCCTTGGTGTAGCCGTCCAAGGCACGCAGCACAGGCCCGACTAGGACTCAAGCAGTGCCATAAAACCAGCGACTACTTTGAAATAACGACATTTCCATTTTTGTAGGTATTAACGAGGTACGGAAAAAAAAAATGGCAAGCATCATGCGGGTGATCCAAAGCGTAGTTGAAAGATGCCTTACCCTTGTTTGGGCCAAATGAGACGTATGCTTTGTCGTTGAGTGGTCCGATATGACGCAACTCCCCAAAGGTATTTTAGAATGGATTAGGACATACCCCGGCTGAAAACGCCCAAATATGGCTCCACCGATCTACCATAGGTCATGATCTCACCAGGGCCATTCCTTGCTACAGCCTGTTTGGTTAGTATAGATCAAGGGGCGACGGGCATCATATATGGGTTGCCTTCAAAGAAATCGTGGTACACGGCATAGATTCAATTGTCGCTTCAACTATGAAAAGTCTTAGAGAACCCTAGGTTTCTTCTAATCGCGCTAGCCCGACCATTGGTAATTCCCTACCTCAGCAGGAGACTAAAAGACCAGGAGCTTTTATGTCGCTGCCTCTTCATCCTCAGCTTCCCCAAATGGATAATCCGTATATCCCTCACTCTCAACCACAACCACACTCCCATAAACCGTCTTCATATTCCACTTAGTCAATTTCTTCCCCAATCTCAACTTTTCCACCAGATCCGGATTACTGATAAACCACCTCCCAAACGTAATTGCGTCCACCTCTCCGTTTTCCACCTCCTCAAAGCAGTTTTCGCTGTCGTAGTTTCCGTTCGCCAATATCGATGTGGTCTTCAATACCTCCTGGAAGTGTCTCAGGTGGAGATCCTTGATTGTAGCAGCCACTTTACCCTCTTTGATAGCTGTGTACATATTTTCCCACTTGGTCTTCTCTTCAAGCAGCAGATCGGCTCGCGGCTGAGTGAGACATACGTACGCGATTCCTCGTTTGTCGACTTCGCTTAGCACATATCGGTAGTTCGCTATCGGGTCCGAATCTAATGGCACCCAAACTGTCCCCCAAGGGCTCATTCGAATTGATACCCTGGGCGCCCCGACCGCGGCGATCACCGCATCTAGTACTTCGAGCGTGAATCGAGCTCTGTTCTCTTTGTTGCCTCCGTAGGCATCGGTGCGGAAGTTGACGTTACTATTCAGGAATTGGTCAAGAAGATAACCATTCCCTGACGCCTTCGTCTCATCAGCTTCCAATCTATTACCCGTGGGAATGCTGCGACCTACGATTTCGACACAATCAAACCCGGCCTCGATCGCACATTTCGCAGCATGCACATAGTCATCAATTGTGTCCTTGATATCCTGCAACGTCATCGGTTTGGCTGTCTCATGAGGTACTTTGATGCCTCCAGGCGTATTCCTGTTGAAATAACCAATGTTCGTTGCGGAAGAGCTCAATGGCTGGCGACCACCGAGTGAGACCGAGACTGCAAAGCGCCCGACCTGATGGTCGCTCAGATAAGAGCCTGAAGCTTGAAATTGCCACTAGAGGAGAACTTACATGCCACAATTGACACGCCATGAATGCACCCTTAGCATGCACGGCATCCGTCACCTTTTTCCACTGTAGCATAATCAGCAATGATCTCAGTAAACATCGGAAAGCCTAAACATGAACCCGGGACTTCCATCAAAGAACATATGTTTTGGAAGAACGTCGATTGAACAGCTGATGATTTGCACGTACAGCCCTCACATGCTCAGGCGCAAACATGCCTGGTACGCCGTGGAAACCTCCAGCCTGAGTCGCTATTAGCCTTCGATTTGCTCCATTCATCACTCGAAAGAATTCTACCCAGGCGAATTACACATTGGGGAAAGTAGGAGTGACTGACCATCAAACTCGGATGCATGCCCTCAGTAATAAGCAGCCCTCCCCTCGTCGCTCTTTGGGTGTAATACTCCGTAACTACCGGGGTTGGCACACTGCCAGGACAACGCAGTCGCGTCAACGGCGACATAATGACTCGATGTTCGAGGTTCATTGCTCCGAGACGAAGAGGTGAGAAGAGCTTCATTGTTCCGCGGGCAGTAGAGGTAGAATCCATGATGGTAGATGACAGGTGAGTTGACAAAACGTTGTAGTTTTGAGAGCTCTATAAGGAAGATATCATAACTTTTGTTTTTTTTCTTTCGTAAGTTCGTGGCATGGGACCCAGAGATTTTAATTCTATCTCAATCTCAGACTCTTGCAGCTCCAGACGATCCGTTGAGGACTTCTCGCCCCTCAAGTGGAACTTTCTCCACACCCTCATTCAGCTCTTGGCTCAAAGCACATCGATCTGTGAAGGGACACCTAGATGTTTTGGAGCTCTTTCGTCCAAAGCAGGCGCCATGCAAGCCTTACACAGTCACCTAATAGGAGCAAACAGATTTCTACACCTGCATCTCAACATTTCTGCATATTGTAAAGCTTCAGCATAGGTGGGTACCTCGGCAGGTCGTGAGTTGTAATCACGTTCATAAGAAGGGTGATTAGTGATCTTGAAGGCTCAACAAATTTATGTGTGAATAATTTGTTTAGTCTTTGTCGTCCTTTGATTTGCCCCCTGGTTCACCTGAGGCTTCTGGAGCGAAATCTCACTAATTTGGGCTCTTCTAAGGAAACCTGGAGTTTCCGTTTACTCAACGGCCCGCTGCCCCCGTAGGATCTGGTTGGGGCAAGGAATTGGCGTTGGCAAAACAGCTATAGCGCAAAGTACATGTAATAAGTGAACAAAAAGAAGATAAAGATGAGTGAGAAAAAAAAAGACGAAGAAGCCCCTAGAAGGTCTGTCTAAGTAAGTACCTATTCCTATAGTAATTGAAAAGGGAACCTGGTACTATTTTAGTGCTAGGGTTGCTTTCGAAATGCCGAGTCTTGTGTTATTTAACCATTCCTTAAGACTTCAGGAAAAGGCAAATTTTGTTTAAAACAGAATTAGAAACAAAGAAATAAACCAGAGTATTAAGTACAAAAGGGCAGCCCTGCAGAGATTCACACCTCTCTTAGTCACGATGCACTTTTACCGACATGACAACTGGCTTTCTGGCCGATATCGAAGATTTCAAAGTATTTGATTAATTATGAAATATTGACGTGTTTTAAGGGCTTCGTGTGGGTCAGATGCATTGCCAAATGCCCAACAAGAGAAAAGACAGATCTGCTATTCCCTTCAGCAATAATGTTTCGTTGAAGCTCAAATTGGAATCGCTTCTTAAAAGAACGAGAGTTTGTGAATTATTGCGTCCACCGCATGCTTAGGACGGAACCCCAAGCTTTTACTGGTTGGGGTTCAGGACAGCGACACAAAAAAGTGGACAGCTCGGGTGTTGCTATGTCGGCTTGATTACGAATCAATCGGGGTCGGGTTCAAGTTTGCCTGTCATACATAGTAGGGAACCTTGATGATACCGTGAATACTCTCAACTACGCAGTAGAGAAGATCAAGAAGGTAACTTTAGCCGCCCGATTTAACGTTTCGGACCTGAACAGGTTGCCACCATACGAACATGCTCAGCAGAAATCAACAGAGATCACTAGGCTTGACACGATTAAGCAAAGTTCTGAGGCTGCAACGAGATACTCGCTTCACCATAGTAGGTGTGACTCTTAAGATCCCCGAAACAACAAAGACCTGTTCACACAGCCTCGGTGGCCTGATGAACGTTCGAGAATCGAAAGAAACCAAGGCTTTGCCACGAACGGAACTATGCTCATCCGGACAAACCAATTTCAAAAAGCACCTGATGCTTTTAACTGGGCCATCAATGAACTCGGGAAATGTGATCACGACACAGAGACAATGTGATGTCTTTTGAAGACAGATGTGGCAATGCAACACTATGGCGCACCTCGGAGATGTGTATGGCAAGTTGGCATAGCCAAAGAAGCTTGATGCCGCAGAAACTTCGCCCTTTGTGAGAGCAGATTACTTGGGGGAAGTCTCCAAGATCTGGATTCAGCGATGGTCTCTGTTGGTCTTATAAGTGGTGATACTCGTACGAGTGATAGGAACGGTTACTCAAAGTGGTGATATTGCTTATTGGTTTCATGGAGATACGGAGAAGGGTAGTTTAACTGCGCGGTCAGCGAAAAACTGAAGTGGGATATGCTTCTCTTTGTAGCTGAGCGGCTGGCCCCCCACCCCCCACCTCACCAGGTGTGGCTGACGGCCTCCCGTCTCCTGTTGCCTCAAAGTCTCTTTCCGTAAAGTTTAGTCTTTTACGAAGGGTTCGGCAAGTTGAGTTGAAATCCCGCCCGGAACGGTGTCCATTACATGGAAGACGAGACGTTGCTAACCTGCACCTGGCGTGAGCACAAAAACGCGAGCAATTTCCAGCCCGGTTGTAGTTCTGACGAGATCGAGGTGGGGTCGCTCATCATCGGATGCAAGAAAACCTGGCCTAACGCCTGCTGCACCTCGAGCGACGTCACAAAGGCTTGAGAACCCTGCTTTTGGTCAGATTCAGGAAGTAACGTGGAAATGTATGCGCCAATAAGCCCATCTCCTCCTAAGGCTGGGGCTGTCACAAGTTGTGGAAAATGGGAGTGGCAAAGGCCCTCTACTGTGCCAATCCCTCGCCCACCGAGTTCGACAACGACTGCAAATGGGTTCCCGAGAGCAGAAAGCTAAAAGTTGATTAGTCTGAACACTATATGTGAAGGCGCATGTCTCCAAGACTCCATCAAGGTGTCGCTGTCGCTTGGCTTCCACTCGCTCCCAGGAAGGGAGACGGCCTGCTACGGCTACAGCGTCCTTTTTGGTGCGGAACTCAAATTCCACTAAATAGAGGATTACCTATACGACCACCCTTGGCTTGATACCCACGCCCATCTCTAATATGTCCTTATATACCCCCCTCATGCCACATGATGCGTAATGCAAGGGAAGCCGGCACCAGCTATGTCGACAGACGAGCACTCAGAGGCGTGAGCTCATTAGCGTGAGCCGCGGGTCAGAGTTGTCAAAGTGTGTAGCATTACCTATGAAAGCGACCCGAATGATACGCCTAACCTTTCAACGATTCTCGACGGCACCATGAATGGAGAATTCAGTCCCCATTACGCTCGATGGTAATATGTCTGGGGAAGGCAGTCCAACTCACACCCCGAACCCTTCCTCGAGTTCACCTACTAGATTGGCCTTCATCCTAGCGTTGCCGCCACTGGTGACACAAGATAAGACCGGGACCGTGACACAAGACCGAGGAGTGATGAATGGGGGAACAGAGCAATGGGTTGGCAGGTAGCGGAGTGCCTTTGCCAGAATTATAACAGTAATGTATACTGACTAGCCAACAGTCTTCCAAATGCACATTGACTTGAGCGATTCAGATTGGGTCGCATGGGGTTGACGAGCACACATAAGTGAGTGTCCTTGTTCTCAGAGTCTTCCATGCGCAGGAAGCCCGCCATTCAACCAAAATGACAGAGGTTGGAGCGTAGATGTCAACCTTGCTCGCCTATACACCGCTAGGACCGGTTGGGGACTGCCCACAGCAGGAAATCCCGGTTGTGGACTGGACGAGAGGATAGGTATAGGCGGAAAAGACGCAAATCCAATCCAAAGGCCGCCCAGTGTGGCGGACACTCGCCTTCGTTATCTGGCTGAGACAGAAATTCCGAGGGTTGGAGACTCATATGGGCCAGGCAACCTTCTCTCCTTTTTATTTTATAAGGCATGTACTGTTAGTACAAGCCGCTGCATCTCACCTAAATCACTAATACTGCTTTTTCTACTTGACTTATGCCACTACGCGGCGGCGGCGGCCTAGCCATAAGGCCGCCGCTCACACCTCAATTCAGGCTCTACCTACCCTCTGCCACAGCAGTCTTTACTCTCACTTTAAGCCCATAGGTCACTAAAGGTTCACTAACTAAAAGAAAACAAGCAACTATCCCCTTATCCCCGCCTATCCTTAACACTATTAAAGAGAATAATAATAACTTATTTACTAGTAATAAAAATCCTTTTTTAATATATTTAAATATATACCTAGGAATTAATAACTTAATATATAAACTAAAAATAAATATAACTTATAACCTTTATTAAGGCCTAAGTAAAATAATAGCTTTTTAAAATAGTTTTTATTATGTTAAAAATATATTAGTTAAAAGCCTTTAATATACTTTAAAGGCCTTTAAAGTAAATATAACCTATAAAATAATAGTTAACTATTTTATTTAACTTTTTATAATTACCCTTAAAAATAAATTCTTAAAAAAAGATAATAATTGTAATAATATAAAATAACTAATTAACTTAACTTAATACTTAATTTAATATATAGTTTAACTTATAATATAAAATATAATAATTAATAGTTTAATAACTTATACTTTTATAGCTAATAAAAATAGAAATATAATTAACTTTTTATAAGGCCTAATAAAAGGTAAAAAGACCTATAGTAATAATAGACCTCTATAAAGCTAAAAAAATATATAAGTAAAATCTTAATAATACTATTATTAACTTAACCTCTAAGTTCTTTTTAAAATCCTAGTTACTTTTAAGTACTTTAAAGTTAACTCTATAATTATTTATTAAAGAATTATATTACTTTATAATATTAAAATCTAAAATATTAAAAAAATAACTAAAATATTAACTAATATTTTAATTACTTTATAATCTAAATATATTAAATAAACTATACTTAATTATTATACTAAGTTATTTAAACTTTTGAGTATAACTAATATTAAAAAGCCTAAAACATAAAAGTTTTATATGATTAAATAAATTCTTAGTTAAGTTTATAACCTTAATAATAAAATAATCTTAATAAAAAACTTTATTATAAATAAAATTAAACTAATTATAAAAAAACCTTATTTAAACACTATATAATATAGGCTATAAAACACTTTAAAAAATAAACCTAGATTATAGCCTTAAAAAAAGAATTTACTTTATTTTACTTTTTTAATAGCTTTTTATTCTAAGTCTTAAAATAAAAATTTAACTTAAAATAATATACCTTTAATGTTAAATAATATAACATTAAAAAATACTATTACTTATAGCTCTATAAAATATATAAAAAGCCTAAAGCTAAA